GGCGGCTTCTGATTTTCGTTAAACGTTGCAAACAGAAACCCCTCGATACCCTTGTTTGGTCTTGTGTATCATTGTTACAAAAAAATAAAAAAATTGGTAAAAGGTTAAATATATCCGGTGTGGTTAAGTTCCCATTCCCGCCATCCTTCTCCATTGCCCACACAAATACGTCGAACATGTTTGAGTAGCTCAATGGTCCATCTTGTACCACGACATGTTCAGTGGCGAAGATGGCATAGTCGAGACGGATGTTTGCTGGGTCGGACGCGCGCGTAAGGGAAGTAAGGATAGGTGTGAACAAGTATAGGCGTACTTGTTTGGACAATAGTTTCAGCACGGGAACGAGTTGTTCACGAGCTTGGGAAGTGAACATTCCTGCAGAAGGTGGGTACGACTTCTCAAGGGTTGACATAGCTACCACGGTGCTTATCAGGATCGGAAGATTCCTCGACTTGACGAGGTTGGTGAGAGACTGCATGAGCATGACTGGAAGCACTTGAGGACCGATTGGTCCGGGGATGACTTCATTACCGACAGTAACGGCGGCAATCTTGACGTTGGCTAAGTAAGGCTCGATGTTGGTCGTGAACCAGCCTTTAACAGCTTCTTCGCTAGCTGCAAGAGCATTCAAGTCCTGGTCCTTAACGCCAACAGTGACTGCGATAACACAGTGGCCTCGTAAAGCGTTAAGAACCTCTGTGTTCGGGTCGAAGATTCTGATTTCAGTAATGCCTATAGACTTGTAAAGGTTGATAACATTGGACGCACGGAGAGGGAAGGTTATCTCCGAGGAGGCCGTAGTTCAAGCCAATGCTATTTGCTGCGAAAACGGAGCCACTATGGTTGTAGTTGACAAACAACACAATGCTCGAGAGAAAGAGAAAGAACAACTTTTTAGGCGAATAGAGCATAATGAAGCTTTTATCTACAGAATATATTTTGAGTCTTACTCTACTTTTATATTTTGTTTAACTGAATCTAACTACAAGAAACGTATCCAAAAGGAACATGAATTTGATTAGGTAATTAGTAATTTCATGTATAATCGATGTCTTTGGTCATGTATAATCAATTGTGTGGTTAACCAACTATAATTATAAATACATGAACTATTTTATTGATACATCAATCTTAAATACTTGTGCAATTTTTTTTTTACATGACATCAATCTTAATATGACGGGAAAAAAGACATCAATTTTAATACTTGTACCGGAAAATAATTAGGGAATTTTGTCAGCAGTGCCAGTTTGTAAACTCGAATTTCGGCTTCTGCCATTATTGGAAACCTCTTTCAAATCCTGCCACAAGCGAAGGTTTCGTGACGATTTTGCCCTCGGGCAAGCTTGGTTGAGTGTTGCGCCAGAGGCATAGGCAACGTACGAAAATAGGAGGCGATGTGACGTTTTTGGGGGCAGAGGCAGAGGGCATTAAATGATGGGTTGGGGGTATTATCCTGTGTGTAAAAGATTAAAGAGTTGATTACAGATTAAAAGATTAAAGAGGTTGTGTTTGTGTTAGGCATGGAGGACAAGTAGTTCTGGATCGGTTTCTGAACTGCAGCGATTTCGAGTTCTTGGTGAAGAGGGTAGAAGACAACGACGGACAAGATTTAGCAAGAGTTAGCAGGCAATAGAGAACAAAGATAGACAGGTATCGTCCATTATAGTTTGTTGGTTGAGCATTTATTGTTGTTGAGCATTTATTGTTGTTCTTGCTGTGTGTGAGAGAGAAGAACTCACATGTGTGTGATAAAAGCGACGTGTAGGTTGGAAGACATGGACAGGACCGTATGTGTCATCGGGGGCAAATGGACATATTCAGACGAAGGATTTTGGAAATTCAAAGTTACCAGTGGACAAATGGGAGAATGCATGTCTATCGGGTGGGGGTCAAAGTTTTCCGGGTTGACTGAGCGTGTGGCAGATGTTTTGGGTGTTGACCTTGGTGGACAACAACTCGATTTGAGCTTCTGGTACCCAGGCGAAACTGCAGCTTTCACGCATGGGAGAATGCCACCAATTACGATCACCAGCGATGCCGCGTTTGAGCAGTTTAAGGTGAAGCATGCAGAGTACGGCGGTCTGTATTTGTACGCAACTGCGACTGACCGCGTAGGTGATGCGGTGGACATGGACAAGTCCGCCAACGGTGTGGACAATACCGTGTTGACTGCCAAAGACGTGGACAATACATTGTCGGCGACAGAGAAACAAAAAATCCCAGGTGACGATATTGCTACTTTAGTACGTACTGACCATCTGTATAAACTTTAGTACGTACTGACCATCTTTTAAACTAGACTATTGTCCATCATGTTTCTTTTAAACTAGACTAGAATCCTGTCATGTTTCTTTTAAAAAGATGACTGTCCATTTTTTAAAAACAGTACACATAATAGTACCGCATTTCAACAAAGTTACTCCTGTCCTCTTTCCCCCCCCCCTTCCTGCATCAATACGTTTCGCCCAATCATTGGTCCACGTGTTAATAAAGCTTCAACACCTTCTTTCCAGTCACACAGTGTGTAGTCATATCACGTAAGCTTTTAGTTAACTTAAGGTGACTTTAACTTCTTTATTACCCACACCAACAACACATCTATCCCCACTCTCATCCATCCTCTGAGAATGGATCAAAATTCCGACTCGCAGGCTCTTCCTCCGGCTCCCTCTTCCTCCTCCGCGTCTTCAATGCCATACCGACCACGGCCCATGTTGGAAACCGGCATTCCACCCCGTTGTTATTGCGGGTCTGCTCTAAGGATTGTTCGGTGGCCAGAAGGCTTAAACACAAGGCGTCTCTTTTACGAATGCGTGGACGAAGGGGTTATCGATGGACAAATTTGTGTTTCTATGTCCAAATCGTGACCCGCCCTAACATTTTTTTTTTGTTTCTCACAGCCCGAAGGCATTCATCTGACCAAATGGTTGGATGTAGCTATGCTGGAAGAGATTCAGCGTATCAAAGACAGGTACGAAGACCAAGATGAACGTTTTAAATACCTTGCACACACCCCTGAAGGAGAACGCTTCGATCCCAGGAGGATGCTGGCTCGTTTCAAAGCCCAGGAAGAACAACTCGCTAATCTCAATGTGTGTGAAGAGGAGACGAGAATTGCTTTTGCTGCAATCAATTACGAAATTGAGGAGGTTTCAAACAAAACCATCGACATCTCTCAACACTGTCTCCAAATTCGCAAGCTTTTCAAGGCCAATGTCTTAATTTTCATTTCAATTGGAGTGTTATATCTTTTGTTTGTCTTGGCATTTTTCTTCCCTAGGTCTGGTTAAAAATTTCGCTGGTGGACATGTTCGAATATTCCATCATTTTTTGTTTGCTAATCTATGTAATTGACGGCTAGACTATTACTTTCCAAGTAATTAGTTCTGTGGACCAGACTGGGATGTATTCTTGTCCACATTTTTTATGACAGACAACTCTTCGCGAGATTAACAATGTGGTGCTACAAGTTATTCAGCCCAACCGATGGATGAGTTATTCGCATAATGTGATGGACATATTAAGATTTGGGCGGACGAATGTGATGAAATTCGCAGAATCTGATGGACATATTAACATGATGGACTTCCTATACACCCATTAATATGTATTCCTCCTTCGCTATGTGGTGGACGAGATGGGCATAAACAATGGACGACATGGGCAGAACCTAAAATAATGTCCGTAATTTAGATAATGGACATACAATTCGGACAGTTTGGGACGAGATTAACAATGTGGTGGACATACCTACAAGTTGTTCGCATAATGTGATGGACATATTAAGATTTGGACGGACGATTGTGATGAAATGCGCAGAATTTGATGGACATATTAACATGATGGACTCTCTATACACCCATTAATATGTATTGGACAGTGTGGGATTGTTTCAGCTACGATGGACATAACAATGATGGACAACTACCGAGAAAATGTTACAAAGCAGAATTCAGTATCAGCAAACATTTTAAAGTATAAGGGAGGGATAACAATGATGGGCAACTAATGAGACCATGTTAAAAAGCAGAAATCAGTATCAGAATAAAGTTTAAGGGAGGGAAACATTTTAAGAAGGGAAAGAAACAAAAGAGTCTGAAAGGTTTAAGCGGTCAAAGAAACGACACAGTCTTCGAAGATATCAACCGCGAATCTCCTCCTAATCATATCAACAGTGTCCTCGTTTATGGCGTGGTCTGGTTTGTATCCATTAGCGTGTATCTCGATAAACTTCACGGCGAGAGGTCCACAGTCCCCGGTTCTGTCGTTCTGATACACTTTCGATAGCCTCTTGAATTGGAAGACAGTTGGTAGAGGGCAGTCAATGTCTTTTTTTTCGACCAGGTCTAGGAGAATGTGTGGTAGCAGCTCTACCATGGGCTTCATAAGGCTTTCCACCTTAGTGTCGTCGCTGTCAACAATTAGCGGGTCAAGTATTAAGATGAGACCGTCCCTGAGACGAATGGCCAACGCAACCCAATGCGATTTACCCCAATTCATTGGCATGTATACTGTGTCAACATCAGCGAACCAAGCAAGGTTGGACGGGCGGTTGTCTACAAAGCCGCGGACATATTTCCTGATAATGATGTTCCACCGAAATTTTAGCCCATTCTTTATCGCTCTCTGGAAGCGAGGAAATTCATCGCAGATCATGTTGGGGAACCATGTGTCCAGGACAGCAATCCTTCTCTCCCGGAAATGTTCACCATATCGCTTCCACACGGTGTTGAGCATTGCTTCCATATGCTGCATAAATAAACACCTTGTCTGTGAAAACTGGTCACCAATAGACTTATGTATAAGAACACGTCTATCAACAAAAGTGATTGCATAAACTTGTCTACTTAAACAGAAAAAGTTTATTGACAAAATTGTGTTCCAACTTACAGGAGTCCCGACCCACTTTGATGGGGTGTATACTTCTTCAAAAAAGGAATTGCTAACAGCGTGGCCATCTATGATGTAGTCCCTGTTTTTCATCAAACTCTGGGTTATCACGCCATGTCAGGCTGTCATGTATTTTGAACTCGTATAACAAAATTAAAGCTGTTCATTTACTTACTTTTTATTGTGTCCAGCCAGCTTCGCCAGAAACTTATCCCACAACTGTGGTTTAACACCTCTGAAAGGGTTGTACAACCCATCGTCGGAGGAGTCAGCTACATCCGACACCTTTTTCTTCTGCGAAGACTGGCCATACCTTTTCGGCCCCCTCCTCCGTCTCTTAGGTGGCAGGGGGGTTAGGACTTGGTCTACAATAGGGTTTCTCCTTTTTTTAGAGGCCTTTCTTCTCTCTTGAAGTGCTGCGTCCAGTGTACAAAACAAAAAATGACAAACCGAGGGGACAAAACCTTATATAGGGCTTGGTGGACAATTAAGTTACCTTGGGGTCAGTTAGGTCCACCTCTACTACAGCGTCGTCTATCTCCTCTTCGACGTCCTGTTCATCTCCTAAGTTGTCTGAAGAATCTTCGCTGGTATTTTCCTCTCCGCCGTCCTTGGAGTCTTCTTCCGCAACAGAGACCTGCTATATCATCGATAAGAGTTAATACCTGTTTATTGTTCAACAAACAAACCAATTGTGGGCAAGAAGGTTGGATTGACCTGAACAAGTAATCCAGGGTTTATGGATGCAGGGCGGTGGACAGGACTGTCGTCCACTGGGTTTCCATCTGAGACAAGGTTTGCATTCTTGTCCTCCTGCGCTCGTGGATTACCGGGCACGTCGTCGTCTCCCTATAAAAGGTAAAAAATATAGATGAAATGACTAACAAGGAAGGTGGATAACAATTAGATCTTAAGGAATTTGACGACCTACCTGGTCCGAATTGTCTGAAGAGACTTCATTGGAAGATGCCGTGACCTACAATATTAGAAAACACAACATAGTTATAGGCAGTGGCTAATTCCCAGCTTGTCTATCAATACACAATAATACTTGTCTACCAATACCTCTTCAGATCCGGTGGTGTGGGGTTGTGAACAATTAATAATGTCTTCCTGCCCGTCATCCTTGGAATCTGGTTCCTCTACAGATACCTTATATATCATCGAAAATATTTAATACCTACTATAAAAATGGAACAAGCAGAAAGTTAGTGGACAACCAAATAGGATTAACCTGAACTGGTCCGTCATCGACTTCGGTGGGTGAGTCAGTGTTGTGGACAGCATTCTCGTCCTCTGGGGCTGTGCTACCCCCCATGTCGACGTCTCTCTTCTCAACAGCTTCTCCATTAATGCTCCGGAGGATGTCGACAATGTCAGGGCCGTAGCCAGGCCATGCTGACTTGTTAATCTCATCCAATAAATTAGCATCTGTATTGGCAGGTGCTTTACCAGACAACTTCCCAATAATATCATCGATGAAAATATACGCTCAATTTTTGCAGTGTGCTCATGGTTCCTCCGATCTATTTCATCAAGAAGCTCCTGTGCTGTGAGTGTTGGAACGGGTCCATTGATAGGCGGTTCATCGTCCACAGGTGGGGTGGTCTTCCCACTCTTGGCCTTGCGTTTAGTTGGAGCGGGCTTCTTCTGGTTGGGAGCAGTGGCTGCGCCAGGCTCTCTCTTAACGTTGGCAGCCGCAGACTTAACCATCGATGGGAGATTACTGAAACCTCCATGCCAGGACTCAGCCTTGAAGATGTGGCCGTCTTTTATAACCTCGCAAAGAAAATCAACTCGTTCATCTTCCACCTCGTCACCCCATGTAATGGTGCCTAACTCAAGGGTGTGGTCCATTTTTAATATAGATTCAACTTGGAGCTGGAAAAGGAAGATAGAGCAATGTCAAACGTGGGCAAAAAACTTAATATGTTGTCCGCATCTTCCTCGTTAAGCCTACTAGCGATGTTTCATACATGCCTATCACCAGATTATCTTGTCTATTGCCGAGTCTAATTTGTCCATCCATGAAATAGAAATGTCTATCTAATCATGTCTACCAGCGAACTGGCCACTAAATATGCAACATATAAGAACAAAGAATGGACAACTAAATCTAATCCTGTCTATCAGATAACTGGCCACTAAATATGCAACATATAAGAACAAAGAATGGGCAACTAACCTTTTCGTCCAGCTCCGTCTCAAGGATTGTTGAATTATGGAACGTCTTGCACATAGTGAGTTGGGAAACAGATCGGAAAGCGAATGTCTCAGAATCATCGGGCCCTAGGAGATAGTTCTGGAGCAGAGGGACGGCTTGGAGTATGAGCAACTGGATGGCTAGTGTGAAGCCATGGGTAGCAGTGTGGGATTGCATAAGTTTCTGTGCAAGTTCATCAGCGGATTTGTTGACAGAACCCACAGATACAGTAACCATTGTCCGCTCGAATGATAGACGACCCCAGGGGAAGCTGTCAAAGGAATTGATGTCTTCAAGCATCTGAACGACCTTCCTCGAGGCTCTTACGTTGGAGGAGTCGCAGACAAGGATACCCTCAACTATGACAAGGAGTGCAAGTCTTAGTCTCTTCTGACCATCCATTCTTTTAGGCTTAGGCAACCTTTTGTCCCGCTTCAACCAATCTACAATGTCCCGAATACTCATAGAGCTATGAGGACCAAACAGTTTTGTCCAATACGTTTCATCCTTGCGCCGTGGCGTTTGCATCTTCTCGATCTCCTGTTCCGGCGGGTATGGGTTGCAGTTAAGCCCTGTTAAAATGGCAAACCCTCTCATGGAAAATCGTATGGGATGTCCTCCATATACAAACCACATCTCGTGACGTTTATCGGTGACCAGCGAACGACAAAGAACTTGGTGTACAAGCTTTCCAGATAGGGAACTTCTCCGAATAGGGAGCTTCAATAGACCACCGAAAGATGACTGCTTCAGCCACTCAAACTACAAAGACCCGTGCAAAACGTCAACGATGTCTATAAGATATTCAGGCCTGGAATATGAATTAATGCGCCCTCCTGCAGGGTACCGATTGGTAGCAAATAGCCGGGGTGGAAGCATGGACATTTCAATGGATTCGTCTGTTGGGCTGTCTACTGCTTCAGTGTTGTCCACCGGCGTGTTTCTATTCACCAACAGGAATCGTGTTAACAACAATAAGCATTCTGGGCACGCAAAAACATATCTTATACTCAAACTACCTTAAGGGTCTTGGGATGTCCACTGGCCGGGAGGCCGCTTTGAGACCAAGGACAATTTCTCTTGCCGGGGGTCTACAATTGGATTAAAATTGTAGGCGATTTAGTACAAATAGACGAAACCAGAAAGGAAAACTACGGGGGTAGTAGACAAAATTTTGTCTATCCGGCGAAAACTTACCCTTTAGACTGGAGATGGACAACCGGCGGATGTTTATTTGGTGATGCCGAGCGAAGAGAAGATCTATTCATGAGCAAAATTACCAGTATTTAATAGAAAGGTTATTATTGATAGAAAAAAAAAAATTGTCCTGCACGACAACCATACCTTCTCCGGGCAGAATTGGAAACGTCCACGGGGATTCTAGGTCTCTCGTGTCTAACGGCGTCTTCAACCGGGGGTTTTAGGGTTTCAGCGGAGTCGCCAGAGATCGGATGTACGGCGTCGGCAGTCGGTTCGGGGATGGTCGAGCTCTGATGTACCGCCTCGCAAGTCGCGCCGGGTGTTTCGGGGCTGCCAACTTCGAGACGGCCTACCGGGAGCCTTTGGTTCTTCACCCCTGTCTCCTCGGGCGCGATGTCATCTTCGCTATCGACATCGTGGACGGGGTTTCTGTCTTCGGCGAGGAGTCTGTCTTCGAAGCCAGTGTGAGCAGATGTGGGGATCTCGTGATGCTGGTCCGGCACATCTGTCGGCTCGGTCGCTATCGACATCGTCGACGGGGGTGAAGTAATCGGAGGGTCTTCAGTTTCCATGGGTTCAGCGGTTTGAATCGGATCCAAACGAGAAGAGATTTTCCTGGAGAAGAATTTGGATAAAGTTAGTTGTTTGTCCATCAGTTAATGATGTTTTGTGATAAATGAAAATTCAGTTTCGTGGGTATAGCAAGTGAACGGTCGCATGGGGAAGACGCACCTTTCTGTCCTGTCGTCGAAGAGGAGCGAGGCAGAGCAGCGAATTCGGCCAGGGTTAGATTGGTCTTTTTACCAAGCCTTTGTGGTAGGCGGGAGAAGACACTTCTCGAAATGGCAGTCTGCAGAAGATTTTTCACTGTACATGGCATAGAAGACAATTTTCTCAAATAATTATAGTGTTGATATATCATGAAACTATGAACTTTCTATTATAATTGAATTTTTTATAATAAAACCAAAACTAAATTATTTAATAATAAAAAACGAATGTAAGGTTTTTCCATTTTTGTTTCTCTTCCACTTTGATGAGAAACAATTTTGTTAGATGGTTCATCACAAAAAGGAAAAGATTGAGAAATATTTATTTGGTGTCGATTTTGAATAATCATCATGACTTCTAGTAAATATTTAGAGAATAAAATAGAAATAGGAAATGATATGTTTTTTTTTTGTTTTCTTAAGAAGTGGTCACCAATAGCAAAATATTACTTGTAAAAAGAAAATAATTTGCCAAATCTTTTTAAATTGGTCATTCACCATAAACACTCCCGTTTCTCGTTCTTTTAGGTATTCTTCTTTTTTTTTCGCCCTTATGTTTCTTTTACTTTGGGAAGTTATTGGATAGTCGTTAAGAGTGTGGTTCTGGCTTTGTGAAATTCGAGTCTAGTCTTTACCTTTTGTATGGCTTTGGATGTTTTTGGATCCACATTTATGCTCTTTTGTGGCACCCTTATCGTCTTAGTGGGAACCTATACTGCAATATGTAGATCATATTTCGAATTGGCTGCTATTTTGTGGCAGCTTGAAAGAGATATTTATTCTTTTTCATATATCGTTCCATATTTGTTAGTTCAACGGGGGTTTTATAGTTCTTATGGTGACTTTTATAGTCCTCATTTCTCTTTTAAAAGCTTATCTTTCTCCCAAATACTTTACTTGTGTTTAATGGTATTGTAATAGCAAGCATTGTCGTCGAGATTGTTCTGCTTAGAGCAAAAGCGATAGATTGTTTCTTAACACTCTTTCCGTTCTGTTTTTGCTGACTGTTTGGCTCTGGAAACAATGCTTCCTCTTCATGTTTCACCCTAATCCGTCAGTCTCTTTATGAGCTTTGTTGTTGTTTCTAGTAGAACCCGATTACACGATCTCTAGTCGTTTTGGTTTATTTGGTTTTTCATAGCTTTGATGTATATGGGGGAGGCTAAACTTCACTCCTTTAATTGACATTTTAACTTTGTCAAAAAGAAAAAGACAATGACAAAAGTTAAAGAAAATAAGTGACTTGAAAAACAAGGGATTTTATTCTCACGTTTATAAATACAAAACCACTTTAATAACTTTTTAGATTGGGGAAAAAATCAAGGAGTAATTAGTCATAGAATCAGCAGCAGCTTAAGGTGGAGAGAGGGGAGACGTGTGATCGTGAATTATGAGTGAAGCTGTTGACTTGAGCTTGACGACCACTCCCTCGAAGCTTTTGGGGAAGCGAGACAGAGAGCAAAAAAAGGGTCAAATAAAAAACAAAAACAAAAAAGCTAAAAAGCAGCGTGGAAATTACTTCGCTGAGGAGGCAAACCAAAAACACCCAATTCTCACTGCTACTGCTGCTGCTGCCACTCACAACTTTCTTCCTGCTTTGACCATGCCGTACGGTGAAATCGCCGGCGATTTTGGCTCACCCGACTGTGACGCCGATGCTTCTTCCGACATTCACCTCTCTTCTTCTTCATCTTTCTCTTCCTTTTCTTCTTCTTCTTCCTCTTTGTTCTCCGCGCCTGGTGCTTGTACGGATGATCCCTCCGCGAAGATGGAGAAAGACCCTAGGAAAATCGCCAGGAGGTTTGATTTTTCGATTTTTCTTTTCCTTTTCTTTTCCCAACACCTTTCGGAGCTTGCATTTCTTTGCTTGCTTACACGATTCTGTACGGATGATGTTCGTCTCTATCTGGGCTGTGTTTTTTTTTCTTTCTATCGACTCTGTTTTTTTGTATCTGTTGCAGCTGCAGTTTTTGTATAAGTTTATCGGATGGCTGGATTGTCTTATGTTTAGGGAATGATCGGATACATCGTTGTTGATTGTGTTGAACTTCTTTTTCTGGTGGGGCTTAATGATTTCTCTTTGCTTTATGAAGGTATCAGCTGGAGCTGTGTAAGAAAGCGATGGATGAGAACATTATTGTTTACTTGGGAACAGGTTGTGGGAAGACTCACATTGCTGTGATGCTTATATATGAGCTCGGTCACTTGGTTCTTCGTCCTAAGAAAAGTGTTTGTATTTTTCTTGCTCCTACCGTGGCTTTGGTCGAACAGGTCAGAGGTTTTTCATTTTGATTGGTGTTTACTGGAGCTCATTACTGCGGATTGATTAGTTTCTTTCTTCAAGTTCTCACTTTCTTGAGTTTGTTGTTGTTTACAGCAAGCTAAGGTCATATCAGACACTATCAACTTCAAAGTTGCAGTACATTGTGGAGGCAAGAGGATTGTGAAGAGCCACTCTGACTGGGAGAGAGAGATTTCAGAGAATGAGGTGATTTCCTTTTTTCTACCTTCTATTTTTAGCCTATATAAGTCTCATTAAGTTGATTATTTTTTCCATTTCACATTTATGTGGGAAACATTGCTTTGACATATGCGATCATCTTTCAATTCTGTTGTTATTGGCCCTGAATGTTTCCTGCAGGTTCTTGTAATGACTCCACAAATATTGCTGCATAACTTACAGCACTGTTTCATCAGGATGGAGTCTATCTCGCTTCTAATATTTGATGAGTGTCATCATGCTCAACAACAAAGCAACCATCCTTATGCAGAAATCATGAAGGTATCTTCCTTCACATTATTGGTATCTGATTTCTGAAACATTTTTCACATAGAATCATCTTTTAGTTGCTCCACTTTGATGCAAATGCAGGTTTTTTATAAATCAGAAAGTTTACTACAGCCTCGAATATTTGGAATGACTGCATCTCCAGTTGTTGGCAAAGGTAGGCCCCATTTCTCTAATGTTGACTCCGGATTACAAGCCCATTACTGTCCAATTTTTTTTTATTATGAGAGGGTCTAAATCATTCCCTTAGAAATAATATAGTCGACAAAAGTAGCTTCTGCATTGAATTGCTTTTGTTCTTTTTCTTTTGATTGTGAGGTATCTCTTGATCCTTATAATACCTGCTACTTATGATCATCTCGCTCTATACATGGTCCACCTTTTAACAGCTCTATCTACTTTTCAGGGTCTTTTCAATCGGAGAATTTATCGAAAAGCATAAATAGCCTTGAAAATTTGCTCAATGCCAAGGTATTTGCTGGTTCTGAAATTCCGTATTTTCACTGGGAGGTCGGTGTTGGCAGATGAACTTAAAGCACAACTCTTTACCTTAGGATTGGAAATTCTAATTTGCATTTTGGTATTTAAGTATGCAAGATATCTTTGCTAGCTAGAAATGATTGATACCAACTTCTTTATGTTGAACCCTATTACACTCTCTGTCTAATAGGGTCATACCAAAGTAGAAATAGCACTTTGCTAATGCTTGAATCTTTTATTTTGGGTATTTGCGTCCCAAGCTTATGGTAACCAAACTAATCATTTATTGTAAGTTAAAAGTAGAATTATCTTTCTCATAGCTTAGTTCACACTAATGTTCTTACATTCAGTTGGTCTTTCCAAACATATTCTAATATTTCCCTCTTTGTCTCCGTGTT